TTTAAACGGAATATGAAGGGATTAAAATAACTTGCAATTCGGATATTGGTAGATATTATGTGCGAATATGCAAGATATTATGTGCGAATATGCAAGAATTTGATGAAATCGGCTAATGAGATATCCAAGTATTCTAATATCATAGCTCTAATATAAAGATTTTGTTGGGGAGAATCAAATAATTTATTCTGAAATTAAATAATTCAATTTAAATAATTAATTTTGCGAAATTATCGCTTTCAAGCGATATATAAAATCAAGCAATATAAAATATTGCTTTCAGACCATATCGACAATTTATTTCTGCTACAACCGGTATATCTCACTTAAAACCCCCTGTCGTAGCGAAGCTCCCTTTTGCCTTCTTGGTAACTTAATGAAGGGTCGATTATTTCCAAACGATTCGCTGCCCTAACACGCGTACTTCTGACAGATGGTATAGTGATAAAATTACATTTCGCCTTCTTGGAAATCTGATGAGGGAGTGATCACTTTTAAACTGACCTTAAACCCGAATATATCTTTCCCTTCATATGCGTCTCGCGATAATAAAATTACATCTCGTTTTCTCGCAATAACGGGGAAACTCAACGAAGGTGTGATTATTTCCAAACGATCCGTCAGCGGTTGCGAATATCGACGGTATTTCGCAAACCGGTGAGATACCGGCGAGTCCGAGAAACTCGATAATCAATTTGCATTCAATAATCCACGATCGCGCATTAAGACGGATGTATTCGGCAGAGCCGGCATCTCGGGGACTCAGAACTACCGGCCCGGAAATCGGCATGCGGATTAGACGCTTTGTCGTCGCTACGGCGGTGGTCTCGATCTGTGCCGGTCTAGGATTCCCGGTTTGCTTATGAATGGTTCATGCCGAGTTAACGTGCACCCACGTACATACGTATCTATACTCTCCGCGCATTCAACCGCGCATGAATGTTTTATCCGACTGCGGAAATTACGGGGAACGCCCTATACGAACGATCGAGTACGAGAGCGAAGCTTTGGAGACCTAAGGATCTTAGTATTTAAAGACCCAATGAAAGAGATAAATACGAGGATGAAATATTTAATATTTAGTCTTAAATATTTACAAGTTTTAAATTTTAGTCGAAAGCTTTAAACATTCAATTAATTTACGGATCTTGAGTGACTCGAGAATACGAAAGTATGCCGAAATATACATATATTATACATATATACGTATATATATATATGTGCTTCATATATATGAAGCGTTACAAGCAGTTTTCCTGAAAATTATTAAAAATGAAAATCTATTGTTTTGAGATTTTTTAAATCTTAAAATAATTAATTATTAGTAATATCAGATTTAACTATTATGACAATGTAACTTGGTTATATGAAAATATTCCACAATTTAAAGAGAGAGAATTTAGGTGGCTAGCATACAAGGATCCGGTAATGAATCCAATAATATATGTGCAACAATATATATAAATGTTGATGATAGTATTTTTAGTTATTTATTTGTATTTTATACTCAAATTTTATTATGTTTATTTAACTTTTTGCACGTATACGAGAAATAATTTTAATTGTATAATGCTGCTATATCAAAAATAGCTTGTTTTATGTAGAGAATATGTATTAAAATTTTGTAATTAGTTGCAATATTTACAGAGAAATATTTCAACGCATAAGATATTTATATATATTTAGAAATGTATTAAATTGTAATTAGTTGCAATATCTACAGAGAAATATTTCAACGCATAAGATATTTATATATATTTAGAAAAAATCAATAATAATAAAATATATATTCTAAAAAGCATAATATATAATTATCTTATTGTTAGTTTAACATTTCAGATGTTTTCTTTTACAACTTCTCTTTTCGCGCAACTCATAAGGATATCTTATGTAACATAAGAAAATGCTTTAAGAAAGTAGCTAGGTTTTACATGAAGTATTTGTGCAAACTGTTTTTTTTTTTTAATATAAGAGTAAAATTAATTCTTTTATAATAGTTAAAACAAAATTTTTTATGTAAATATATGATAGAGAAAAGAGAGAAAGTTATCAATTCAAATATATCATTTAAATAAATTATTTGTCATAATAATAAGAGTAAATCATCGTATTAATGTTGCCATATAATTGGCATTTTAGTGCAAAAAGTTAAATTATTCACATCGATTAGTTGAAATCTCTCTCCGAGATTATTCATTGAAGTAGAATTGAGCTGGAAAAATAACCGCCTGAGGGAAAAAAACAAGAGAGAGAAAAAGATATATATATAAATTTCCAATATTCATATTTTCTATATATATGTTTTATACAATTATTTAATAATTCGTACATCTTCATGAAAAATACATGATATTACGAATATACAATATGCTCGATTAAATTCATAATATAAAAGGCTGTATCTCTCTCTCTCTTTTTTATTTGCAACATTACACATATGCAAACACCTGATGATTAATGGATATAATAATAAATACAATAATAAAAATTATTCATGTCGCTTCTCGTTTTTTTGTCATATAAATAGACATATTTTTCGTACGTAGATATTTTTATATTCTTCCAGCCCAATTCAATTTTGCATTATACACACATAAATATACAAAAGCCATGCATGCTCAGTTACCTGGGAAATGTAAGTCGTTGTAGCTCGACGCAAATGGGTATCCCAAGACCATGTCTCCATTCGGGCCGTCCTCAGTTACGGGAAATAAGACATTCGATTGTCGCCAACACGTTCTTCCACACAATTCTCATCGAAAAACTTTACACTCGTTCCACCTTTCGTAATCGAAATGGCGCCTTGGCAGCTTTCGGCGATCTTCGGTTTCTCCCGAGATACACAATTGCCTGTTAAAAATTAAAGGCGACAATTAATATATTTTGCAATAATATACTTTTATTTATCGCTCTTAAAATAGTATAAAGGGGATGTAGGGATATTTCCATCTCGAATTCTCTTCATCGAATATAAATCGAAACTATGCACTTGAACGTATGCACGTAGGAAAAGATATGATATATACCTGCCTGTTTAACCGAGGAAATCTCGCGCTACTTGAGGTAAATCGATATTCGCGAGCCAAATCGCGATCTCTCAGAGACTCGTTTACCCGTTAATCTTTAATTTAACGACGAATAAAACGCGTAATAGGAAGTATACCTACACTTTTGCGCGATTTTAAGCGCGATACATTACGCGTGTGTCCCTCTCCTCGCGAACGTTGAAACTCGAGTGGCGGCGTTTCGATGCCGAAATTCAGATCAGTGGTCAACTTCAATCTGCATCGCTGTTCGCGATGTATCGATAACTGTTATGATGAAAAAAAATGCTCTTTTATTATATTGATGAGCCTACATATATTTAGAATAAGAAATCTATATTTAAATTAAACTAATAATTGACATAGAATTATTTACACGCATATGAAATTTTCTATCCAATATATCGAATCGACTATGCAATTGAATGTATCTGTGTGTGTGTAGGAAAAGATACGTACCCGTGTATTTAGGCGAGGAATGCAATTTCTCGCTACGTGACGTGAATCGACATCCGCAAGTCAAATCGCGATCCTGTTCGTCTTTAATTTAACGGCGAATAAAACGGGAAGGTGCGTTTGCGCTTTCACTTTAACACGATTTTAATCGCGATACCTTCCGCGCGTCCTTCCTTCGCGACCGTTGAGACTTTAATGGTGGTACTTCAGTGCCGTTTGACTATCCTCAACTAACTTCCGGATTGAAATTCGAATTTGAATGTCAGCTAATATCTGTCCGTATCATATCGTTGCTCGATGTTTACGATAATAAAAATGCTTTTTATTATGCTCATGTAAACTCAGATATATTGATAATGAGAAATATATTTAATACACATACATATAAAGAGATTGCGAAATATTTTTTACTACTCACTCTTTCGAATAAATATTAGTATTTTAATTCGGGATATTTAGTCGTATGCAAATACATTTCGAGCAAAATGTGATCTTTATTGCTCTCAAGTAATGAATACGCTACTTTTAATGTAGATTTCAATTGAATATATATGCGATGCACCTCGGTGAAAAAAATACTAACCTGCTCACTTGCTCTTGCGGATTGTATATATTAGCATGCTCAAGCCAAACCGCAATCACCTGTAAACAAGTTATTTCTTCTGTTATTTTTAGCTTAGTTAGTAAAAAACACGACAATTGATCGCCTGCTTTCTCGTTTAATCTTACCTCGCCGAAAAGTTTAGCGCCTTGCATTGTTCGCGATCGAATTTGAATGGCGCTTTCACGACGTTCGGTTACCTTCGCCACCCTTCGGCTAACGAGAGGAATACCTTGCCCGCGCGATTTAAAAGCGTCATATTGACCGTTATTGTAATTTGACAGCTACCCTATTGAATATTTATGAAAGAGAGGAATCTACAATTATTGTTTAGACATGTAATTATATACTACACTACTATCAAGTTATTTTGAAAATTTGTCTAAATTTTTATATTTCTTTATTTCATATATATTTTATAGAAAAAATACTGGAAAATAAACCAATGTTTCTGTCATTTAATACGAAGTACATGCAATTCCTAATGAATTAACTGATGAATTCACAAAATTATTTTTGCAAGAAATAAAAACTACAAAATCAATTATAAATTTGTAGTAAAAATAACAATCTTTGATGGTTTATAAATCTAAGATAAAATCTAAATTCAGATTCTTGCGTCGAAGAACGCGTGAAAACGATCTGTATTTCAATGATTAATAAAATGTTATTTTATGAAATTTACATATATATACAGGGTGCGGCATTTATAGTGACGCGGGCATATTTTTCGGAAACGAAGTGAGATATCAAAAAATGTTTCAGACCCTGTATATGTATCCGCGGGACGAACATTATTAATATTAACTTTTTTACTTCTGGTTTAGCAGATTAGAACTTGAACTTCCCGCGAAAGGACCTCGTAAATACATCATGGTACATCAGCGCCGCATCGTAGATGTACGGACGCCGTGAGACAGGACAACACAGACGGTAAAATAATTCGTTTCTTCGTCAAAACCATTCGATACCCTTGCGAATTTTTATCTGCTTGACGCAGTAAAGTCCTGGGGACAACGATCGGGACACGTTTGGGTGTAATTTTCGTCTCTAGAAAAGCCGATGAGACCTATTTTTCGTCCCATTTCGTGAATAGGATTCGCGGCGGCGAAGAATGTCGCAGGAAGACGACGTCGGATTTTTGTACAAAACAATGAGTAAGTTTTGACATAATCTATAAACGATTCAGTCTATCAATTGCGTGATAAGATAAGAGGAATTCGCATCATCGATTCGTTTATAAAGGACTTGAAACTACACAGTTTTGCAAATGCAAAAGACGTTTGTCGATTGTAGGTAGCAAGTAACTATGAGAGATAAAAGATCAGTAATTTATTTTTCCCACTTTGTAGTGACATTTAAATATCGAAAGTGCTGATCGCAAATTGTTTTAATTTGTCAAGTAACAAGTGGTATAATTTAATAATAGACAAATCATTTTACATACAAAATTTGGGCATTTACATTAAATATTGAATATTTAAAAATACACAATATTTGTATAATTTTCTCTATATAAATCTCCTCTATAATAAGAACAGTAATTCAGGAATATAACAGATATTAATATAATTATAGGATACATAATTCACACACAATGCATTAATTAAATAATAATTAATACTGTGTATATTTTATTCACAACTTGCAGTAATTTCATGATAGTATAATAGTAATGATAATAATATTGAATAAATAAAAAATATGTATGTATAATACATTAGATAAATGATTATATTACATTTAATACAAAAATTTCATATATAATTTTATTAAAAAATTATATTTACAAATGTGAGATATATTTATTTGTAAAAAAATTATATAAACATTTTATATTTAATGTAATATAATTATTTTTTTAGGATAATATTTGTATCATATGATATATATATATATATATATATATTTATTTTTATTTTTTTACTTTTTTTATATCATTATTGTACTGTCATTTACTGCTATTGTTATAACTATCATACTATCATGAAATTATGAAAGTTTATGCATCAGATATGAACAATATTAGTTATTATTTTATTAATGCATATATTATTGTATTATGAATTACTTATTCTATAATATCAATATGTATTGTATTTCTCTGTACTACATTGTGTTTATTGTGCCTGTAATTTTAATATCTATCATTATCATTATTCTAACAATCATAATTAATTCTATATCAGCAAATGCATATGATAACAATAACCTAGTTTGTTCCTTTTGTGAATACATGATAATAACTACAACCAACTACTTTATTATTATTGTAGCTTCGTTTACTGACATATAAAATTAACCTAACATATTACCGGTAACGTAACCACCAGCGTACATACATACGTATGTGTGTACAAGTGACGTGCTTGATGTGTACAATATATGGGAGGCTTTTAAAATTGTTATAATGTTCCAGTATGTTAGGGATTTTGTACAAGAATAGTAATTGATAATTCGCGCTACAGACAAATATTAAGATTGTAATCAAAGTGATAAAAGATATTGAAAACATTATGACTAGCACATGTATGTTCAGAATTAAGTACAAACATAACCTATCATTCCTTGTACATTTTTTTCCATAGAAATTTTAATCTAATACTTTGTCAGCAATAAATACTGTTGCTTTCATAAACATTGTTATTTTCACATCAATATGTAGCAATGACAAACATAAGTTTCTCTATACCAAAAATATATATTTGGATAAAAGAAAAATCAAATTATTCTTTACAGTTGAGAGAGATCCCAAAAAGAGAAGAGTAAAACCAGTGGAATCAGCGCAGCAGTCTTTGCTCGACTTTGATCTGGGTGAGAGCTCAGATGATAGTGATTTTAGAATTGAGGATCATTGCGAAGAGTCAGATGATGATTCGGTAGATTCTAATGATGTTGGTAAAGGTAAGTTATTGTTTATGGTGCAGTGCTATGAAATTATCTTATATACTAATGGCAAGAGAAGAATAGAATTAAAATGCACATATTGTAAGAATAAGTGTTTTATGAAGATAAGGAGATTAAGGAAATTGACTTGCATATTATAAGTCTTACACATACAATCTTTTATAAGTAATAATTTTAACAAAACATGTTTTTTTATAGAAGAAGAGGAAGACGCATCTGAGGAATCCGATGATTCATTAGATGATCCATTATTGAGACGTAAAGACAATGCTGGCTTAACTGTAGGAGATGTTATCGAACAAGCTCACCAGCAAGCTTTAAAGGGGGCTCCTCTCGATGAGAAACTAAATAAAATGCTAATTTGTTGTGGTTGCTTAGGAGACAGAAGTGATGACATAAACGAGATCGTTGAATGTGATGGTTGTGGAGTTAGTGTTCACGAAGGTCTCCTTAAAATCTAATTTAAAATATGTTTAAAATCATTTCTACACTATATAGAAGATGTTGAATATAAACAAACATTAAATTTTAGGTTGCTATGGTGTATCCGATGTAGAAAGTTTCTCGAGTACTGATTCCCTATGTCAATCAGCACCATGGTTCTGCGAAGCCTGTAGTGCAGGAATCGAAGATCCGTCATGCGAGCTCTGTCCTAACAGAGGCGGAATTTTTAAAGAGACAGATGTCGGGAAATGGGTTCATTTAGTATGCGCCCTTTATGTACCTGGTGTTGCTTTCGGCGAAGTAAGTTAATCTCATATCGTGTAACGCGTGTCTCATATAATTTCATGAATTATGTATTTTAGGTTGATCGTTTGTCGAGCGTAACACTATTCGAGATGGCATACAGCAAATGGGGTGCAAAAACATGCTCTTTGTGTGAAGATTCACGTTATGCACGCACAGGCGTATGCATCGAATGTGACGCTGGAATGTGTCATACGTATTTTCATGTGACATGGTAATACTTTCAGAGAGCGCGCATCTCAATTTACATTTTCAAAGTTTGTGCTATAAATTTATAATGCAAAATATTATTTTTATTTTATTTAGCGCGCAGAGAGAAGGCTTATTATCCGAGGCACACAGTGAAGAAGTCGATCAAGCTGATCCATTCTATGCGCATTGCAAATTGCATTCTGATAAATCTCTCGTTCGTAGACGTAGACGTAATTGGTTAGCTTTGCAATTGCGTGCGCAATATCGACAACAGGTGTTGAAGCAGCCCAATCATTTAGATACAGACGAACAATGTAGAATTCAAAGAAAATTGGCAAAACACAGACATAAATATTTAGCTCACAAAGCGTCGCGTCCATCTCCATGGGGTAGGTTAATTTTTTTTTGTCATACAAACATACTAAATATATTTCTAATAACATTAATTACAGTACCGACACAAAAGATGCCACGCTTATTAACTACATCTGCTTCTGCTTGCCGCCAATTGGCAAAGAAAGCCGAACTGATGGGCGTAGATACGGCCGCATTAGAAGCACAAGAATCTCAGCTGGTGGCGTTAGTGGACGTTAGAAAGAAGTGGCATATCGCTCCCGCCTTTAGCGTAGAATTTATCGGCTATTATTTGGATCGCAACTTACGCGTAACGTCTATGAAGAGACGGTTACAGGAACTTCTCGACATTAATTCGCAATTATTGAACGAACAACAAAGATTGGACAGAAAATACGACGAAGTAATGAAGGATAATGAAGAACAGATCAAAGTAAACTTGACATTGAAAGGAAAGATCGAGCTGTATCATCAAGTACTTAAGAACGCCGGTTACGCGAAGCCCCTACCGTCGATCGCCGATTTAGCGAAGCCAAGGATAGCACCTACGCTTGGTAAGTTGCATTGTTTGAATTTTTAAACATAATGAATACATGATATATATTTTCTGTTCTACAGGTACAGGATTAGGGGTACCTACAGCAGCCGCTTTAAAAATGGGCGTTGGATTTCCGCTACCCATGGGTAAAGGTGCCGAAGGTATACGTGAGGGTAGAGTGTTGAGCAGTCAGGCAGCACAAGAACAAAATCACAAAAGCGAGCTTACGACTTTACGGCATCAATGCGGTATCTGTAGACGATCGACCAATCAGCACCTTCTCGCAAAGTGCGACACGTGTCACTTGCATTATCATTTATCCTGTTTGAGTCCACCTCTAGCACGAATGCCTAAGAAAACAAGACAGATGGGTTGGTGCGTACGAAAATATAAAAAAATATAATGTCTCAATTATATTAAAATTTGTCATTATTGCAATTTGCAGGCAATGCTCAGAATGCGATAAAGAGTCATCGGGATCGGAAGTGGAACGCGTAGACACGTCAGCGCCACGCAAATTAAGGCACTGTAAGGATGATGCCAATTCGACACCTACACCACCGCAGGAAGTACAGGCAATCACGACTCCAAGCACACCTATTACGCTTAAGAATTCCACTAGCAATATAACAAATATTATTGCTCCTGAGACACATGCCACACCAAAAGTATTTATTTTAGAAATAGAAAGATTTAGAACTTAGCCGCGTTAATATTTAATACACAAACAAATGTATCTTCACAGCTAACAATTAAACCAATGGGGCCGCAACCATCAACTATAGAACTTGCACAGACAACTGAATCAATATACAATCAACAATCCATTAATAATATCACTATAAGAGAAGGTTCACCAGAATATATGGTAGCTTCAGCAGATGGGACAGGATCTGTCTCTCAAAGAAGTGGAAAGAAGAGAAGAAGGTATGCATAAAATAGTATAATAAATAATTTACTACTTATATTTCAAAATATATCTAATTTATATAAATATTTTATTAGGGAAAAACATAAGAGATATTCTCCAGATCCAATAACTGGAGTCAAACAGAGAAAAAGAAAACATAAACGGAAAAGTTTAGATATAGAAAATCCAGAAATTCAAAGTCAACCAGAATTTCACAGAAGGATTACAATAAAAGTATTTATTTGTTTTTTTGTTTAATTATATTAGCTTTATCGATTCAAACGTTGAACAATAAATTAAATTGCACGCAGATAAAATCAATTCCACGACCGGAAGGAGATGCAGCTTCAGAATCGAGTCCACAAATGTTCGTAGCCACTTCTACGAGTACCGAAATCACATTGCCACCACCATCACCTGTGCCACCACCAGCTGTAAATGTCCCTCCCGTAAATGTGTCTGTGAATAGCAGTGGTCGGCTATCGACGGGAACTAAGAGAGGGAAAGATACGGACCTTATGACGCAATGTAATGTCTGTGATACTCCTGGCACCAACCAAAATCTCGTTATGTAAGTTTTGAAATTAACAACTCTCTATGATAGTTTAAATCTTAAAATGCTTAGAATTGCAATATGTTATTGTATGACACTTTTTACTATGTATTTAACCTTTTTCGTTTTAGGTGTGATGAATGTAAGAAGTGCTATCACTTTACATGCTTAGATCCTCCTGTAAAAAAGTCTCCAAAGAGAAGAGGCTATTCTTGGCACTGTGCCGACTGCGACCCTAGTGTAAGTTCATAAATTTTTACTGTTCGTAAACAATATTTTTAAAATATTAGAGATTGATGTACTTTTCATTTTGTTATACATATACATATATTACATGCATCATATAATACATATAGAAACCTATAATAAATAGTTGTACAAAATATTTTTTAGATAATTTTTCTCTTTGTCTTTTTAATCGGCCTACAATATATTCTTTTTTCTTATACATATAGTTTATAGAGACAATAAATATTAGATATGTGACAAAATATAAAGTACTTTAATCTGAAATGTATACGAATAATTAATTGATTTGGCTTCGTGAAGTGTGAATCAAACAGAAATTATAGGCATCGTCTCGTGACAATGCATAAATTAATATTACAGGGAAATGGGAACAGAAAATTTTTTGTCTGATGCAAACTAAATTATATTTATCTTTATTTTTGATGTTACTTTGCAGCAGACTAAAGAATAATATATTGAAGTATTCTGAACTATTTCGTGTCTTCCGCTTAAAATATTGTCAATGGGGATATATATATCACTCTGCATATTAAATGTAATAAAAGAAAAAGATTTTTGTAGTAAACATATTTCTTTTATTTCAGGCCTCTGAAACTGAGACTTAATATCAACAATTTTCTATCTGCAACTACAATTCTACGTTCAAATAAATAAGGCATTCAATGTCGTTACTGGTTTTTTTTTCCTTTTTTTTTTTTTTTTAAAATATTAAAAAAAAAAAAAGAGCGTTACTGGTTTTTTTTTTCCTTTTTTTTTTTTTTTTAAGATATGAAAACAAAGAAGAGAGAAATTTTGCTATAATTTAAAGAAAACCTAGTTTTACGAAAAGATCATTATTATAAATTATCATTTGAAAATGATTTATTTGAGTCTTAGTTTAGTTCGCGCTACTTATTTCCTATTACTTCTTTATCGATTTTTTCGTAACGCTTTGTAGTTTTATATTGTAGTCGTTCTACGAAAAGAGATATTAAATAAATTTGTAGTAAAACATAAAAGGAATATACAAAAGAATATTTTCGCATGAGATAGGAAAGCATGATATTGTTTTAATGCAAAAATATAAAATCTAAAATGAACAAGAGCAGCAATTTATAAATATTCCATGTTTAGGAAAACATTGATATATAAACAAACAACTTTTTATTCTCATGATAAAATCAGTGCGTCAATATTACATTTTGTACATTCTAAGTTATATAAATCTTGCTATTGTAGTAAATAAAATTTTAATATTATCTGTTTCTCAATGAAATTATCATAGAGTTACAAAAGAATCTTACAGTGTCTGAGACAAAAAAGTGGCGCTGTAAATTATATTACATTACTCTGAAAAAATATCTTTTCTTTCATTTTGCCCTGCATAAATCCATTTCTAAAGTCCATCGCACTCATAGGTGAATGACCTGCCATTATTACTCTTTTTATTGAGATCCAACTCGGTCCTTTACACGCCACAATTAATGCACTGCTTTTCCGATCAAATCTCACCAAACCTGGAAAGTTGTTCATATCAATCATATACCTTTTATTCAAAAATAGTATGCAACACCGTGTGTGTATGTGTGTATGTATATATATGTATATAATTATATTTTCAGATAAATAATTTTTTTTTCCTAGGAATAAACTGAAGGTTTAACGTTTCACAATTCTTGGAATTGATTTAGTGCTGTACTGAATCATACAGGAATGACGATTGATCGATTACCTGGTACATCATTCTCCGCATTTGTTCCGCTAATCGGTTTCGACGTCTGCTGAACATCGAATAATTTTATTGTCTTATCACCAAACTTTGTGGTTAATGGGTACAGTCCTAGGAGACCGCGATGCAGATCATATACATTTTTCGCAGTCATCTCATCCCACTTCACCAAAGAAATCTTTGATGTAATTTTAGGTGCTACAATATGTAATCATTGAAAAATACTAATAGCAACAAATTTAATTAGTTGAAACATTGATTGTATTTTATTACTTAGCACGGCAGTAAAAGGACAAGTAAAAGACAGTAAAGTTACCATACGTTATGCCTATTTTTTCCTGAGGTCTCGAAAATGATAATATTTGTGGCAATTTTCTTATTACATCAACTAAAATATTTGCACCCATTTTTGCTAACTTGACATATAATTCTGGTAGGATTTCATCTGGATGAATATCTAATTTTTCTTGTGCTACTATTTCCCCAATATCAAATCTGCAATAACAAGAAAATAATAAGGAAATATATTTGCAATCAAAATGGCATAGAGTCAGTTTCAAGTATGTAGTATTCATTCTTTTATCAATGAATTTTGAGTGTAGATTGCTTTCTACATTTTTTATCGATTAAAGAACTGAAAAAAAAAATATAAAATAAAATATTTATTACATTTTTATATTATGAAAAAGACCAAACTTATATATAAATTTATCTCGTATATCACATAATTTTTGGCATTCTTTATTCTTCTTTATTCCCTAAGTTAAAGAACACATTTTTAAGAAAACTAAGAGAAAAAGCTTACTTTTCTGGCATTATTTTCATGATTGTAATTCCTGTCTGTGTGTCTCCATTAATTAGGGAATAAATTATTGGAGCTGCTCCTCTCCAGCGTGGTAATAGACTAGCATGAACATTTAACATACCACTGTGGTAAAAAAATAGATATATTAATGCATATATTACAATACAGTCTGTCTATGTATGTATATGTGTGTGTGTGTGTGTGTGTGTTAAGATGGATAAAACAACTTACAGTGGAAAAGAATTTATAATATTTAATGGTATCAAATGGCCAAAGGAGACAACTATCCCAATATGAAAATCTTGTAGATCGTTTTCAAGAGGCCATCGCTTAACATTGATTCCTCTTTCTTCTGCATATTGTATTACAACATTCTTTTTCCCTTTATAAGCCGATACGACTTCTAATCGGCTTAGTTTTTTGGTTCTGCTACATAAAATTTTTTATAAATGTTTTGCATTTTTTTTTTTTTTTTTGACAATCAAAATATAAAATCAAGGAATAATTATCGATAAAGTACTAACTATTCGTTATACAAACTTTGTAAGCTTTCGAGAGCAAAGTTATCAGTTCCAAAAAATAATACATTCCATGGACCACTTGTTCGAATTGAATGCAATTTTCTCTTTCGAATATGATACATACGATTCCAAGAGGTTAGCTCACGCGTTTTTCCATTACTTCTGAATATTGTGAGAAAGTACGAATATTTCATTATTATACGTGATGAAAAATTGATATTCAACATATCGTATTTTTTTTTTACATAGAAAATTCGTGATTATTAACATTCATACTATCGAAATGTGACATTTGCACGCACATTGATTTCGCTTTCGCTAGAGATTTTACTTTTCTTTATACTAGAGTACGAGAGGATGTTTGAAAAATGAAGAGATTTAAGATTGTTTTCATATTTGTGTAATAATAATGTAGCATTATTTTATTGGAGATTATAAGGTATATATAAAAAATCTTTTAGAAACTTTTAATATATAACTTATACGAATTCACGCTCTTCAAACATAAATAGAGAACACATGGACGTCCATGTCCATGAGGGAATAAAAATTATGTCATATTGTGGACCCATAGACATATAAAATACATAGATGAAACACCACTCATCTATTTTATAATTACAAATATATAGCCGAACGCCGAACCGAATCTACCCGAAAGAAATCGAACAAGATCGTATTTCGATGCTTGCGTTTATCTCAAAACTCCTTTTCTCTCTTGTCAATATCGGCATGCCCCGTCTATGTATTTTATATATCTATGCCATCAACTATGGCTGGCTGATTCGCTGATTAGATTTATTTTGCTCTTCACATTTTTACAGACACATCTCTTTTGTCTAAAACGACAATCTTTAGAATAATATTATATATATAGAATATAAAGTTCTAAAATCTCATGATAGAAATTCCAGAAAATTCTTTATCCGATATAATCAATCTCTGCGTTCAAATCGTACCATAATCAAATATAAAGACTTGCAATAATAGTTTTAAATGACCAAGATTTATTTCTTATTCGTAATAATTATTATGCGAGATGTTTATAAAATGCTTAACGACATGATACAGAAAAACAAGTTTTATTCGAAAAACTTTATATATGTAGAACACATGTACAGATGTCCCCATGATGTAAACAATGTATATGTAATATATATATATGTGTGTGTGTTTACATAATATGTTTCTCCTTAATTTTTTTCCATTATACTCACAGTAATAGCACGAAAATATTAACTTGACTACGAACAGTGCTTTTGTGAACACAATCAATAATCAGTTTGTTGCTTCAAAATTAAAGATTTTGTCTATTTTGCAAGAGTAAAAGACATTTTTATTTATTTTTAGTGTATTTATTACTGTACAAGAATCAGCGAGAGTATTAATCAATTGCAGATACATATATATCTTTAATTTTTTTATAAACGTTGCGAAAAATTTGGTAAAATCCGGTAAAGTCATGGATGGACGAGTAAGAGTTATAAGCAAATATTATGCTGATTTCGAATATAAGTTTGCTACTAGAGTAGTGAGTATATAATACATATAAAAATGTATTCTTAAAGTAAAATATAAAAAATTTAATATCAGGATTGAAAATAAAAATCCTTAATCTATACTTTTAGTAAATATGTATTTTTAGCAAGTACTAACAACACTAATTAATTTATCCAATGGAATAAAAAATAAGGGTATTAAAAATTTGTCAGAAAGGTAAATAAAGATTTAATATTAAGATGCAGAGAGAGATGTGTGATATGATAAAAATGTAAAAGATTCTACTATTTTTATCATTATTTTTAATAGCTTCTCTTTTTGTATTTATACAGATTCTTTGAAACAGCAACTATAATAGAAGCAAACTTATTTTATTTTGTATCTATTTGTAAACATGTAGATGTAGTCACTGCTATCGTCGAATATTTAAATTATTATGGTGCCCAATTTATGTTTAAGGAAGACTATGGTAATATTATCTTTGCAATTATAAAATATTGATTACATTGACATTGTTTTAATGACATTGTTTTATGTTTTATTTTATATTCTTTTAAGTATATTTACTTTTTTAATTTGTTTTGTAGAAAAGGCAGAGTATGCACATAAGGAACATTATATACCTATGTCATTAATGCTTACAGTTTTCAGTATGTTTATTTTTGGAACGTGCTATCATGTAACTATTTATTAAAAGTTTAACTATATATTATATGTTATATTTATTATATGTGATATTTAATTAATGTTTTACTTCTAATATTAAAATATTTTGAATTATACACACGCATACACACACAAAATATATATTATGTTTATATTCTAGAGACGATTCAGCATTGATCATGAGTGAAATTTTTTTTTATTATATTAAGATTATGATAAATGACTCATCAAGTAAGGAAAATATGTTACTAATGTAATGTAAAAATGTGTTCTTTTTTTTTAAATCTTATATATTATAATTAGAATATCTCTTAAATTTACACAGATCAGAGCAATGAAATGATACTTCTAGAAGATTCAGACTTATATGCGGTTATTAACTGTTTAATGATAATAGATAACTTTAATTTAAGTAAAATTTGGATTCAAGAATCTATAAGACAAAAATTCTTAATGTTTTCACAAAAATATCTTAATTGTTTAAAGTGTTCCATTTATACATTTCGATCACAGAAAGAATTACTTATTCTTACAAGTACACCACCTCATGAGAGCATAATGAGCACCATATCTATATGGTCAGAGGATATTATAACTGCAAAGAACTTAGCCTCATACTTAAATGTACATCATTTAAATTATGTAATATATAGCATTGCCAAGAATTTATCTTGAATATTATTAAAATGATATCTTTTTTTCGCTATTCAGAGAGATATCCTATTCATAAATACACATATGGAATTTAATGGTGGCGTTCTGTTTGTTCCTTTTGCAAAAATAATTGACAACTTGATGGATCATGTAATTATGAATAGTATCGACAAAACAAATTCACATATACTCGATATAACTCCATGTTATAAGGCTATAAAACTAGGTTTGGAACATTACCAACAACGTCCGGAAATTTATAATCTGTTTTATGATGGCATGTGGCAAAAACCTATGGAAGGCATGTATTGGGAACATAACGACAAAATATTTGCACATGCAACAAAGTATGAATACGCTCATTCTTTTATCTTTTTTTTTAACTACACAATATAATTTTGTGACCTAAAAAATTTAATAAAACTCACACATTAAATTTGTAATTAATTTATTGTTATTGTAGCGACGATATTAGGAGATGTGTTAAATCAGCAAAGAAAGGATTCGAAGTTTGGCATGCTAATCCCATTGCTTCTAGACTAGAAGTATTATCTACACTTGTAAAAACATTAGAATACAAGCGGTATGTTAAGTTAATAAAAATACATAATATATATATTTTATTTATACATATTTCTATTTAATATGTATCTCTTATTTTATATAATACATATAAATGTATATATAATATATATAGATGTATATATATGTATACTTGCGTTAGTTCAGCTTGATAATCTTTTATTATATTTTTTTTTAGTCATTTTCTATTATCAACCTTAGTATCAAGATGTATAGAATTCGCAGGTCTTTATGAAAATTCAAACGGATATTGCACTCGAGATGAAACATTAGAATTAATAATAACTCGTAAACCAAAAGGCATTATTATTCTTAGAGAGGAAAATGAAAATACCTTGTTTTTTCGATTGACGCAAAGTTTACTTGCTGGAAATTCTGTTATTGTGATATTTAATGAAAATTTCTGTAACATAACACCATATTTTAATATGTTTTCAATATCTAATATACCTCCTGGTGTTATTAATATGCTATCAAGTAAAAACGTAACGGATTTAGAATCAAGATTATGCGGAACACAGTATTCAGCTTATGTAAAACGATTTTTCTCAGAAGGAAATTTAATCGAAAAATATACGAAGTCATATACACAACTTAGCTTACCCAAGCAAATTGTACATCCTCTTAAATGATTTTATATAATAATATAATCCATAAATAATTTTTTATTAAAGCATAGACGCGTAAAGCATATACATATATAATCTAACTGCGTAAAGAATAATGTTATTTTATTTACATATTAAAATTTTAGAGAAACAATATTTATATTATTTATTATTCAATTCTTTGACATATATAAAGCTGACAATTAGATAATTGTATATATATATTACGGTGTATTCTATAAATTAATATTATTAAAATATGTTATAACTTAATAATAATTAATATTCTATAAATCAAAAAACTGTAAAAGAATTAGTTGTATATTTATAGAAATGTTTTATATTTTTACTCTCATATATATATATATTAGATAGAAGTAATATTTAATTGCAATGTTATTATTAAATTCATTAAAATATCTGACATATTGACATGCAAAAATCATTTCTGTTTTACAATAATATGCAATATTTTTTTGTACACATTGTATATCTCAGCATAAATTTAAAAAAAGTGGAAATTTATTAAATATATGTTTCTTTCAATTTATTAAATATATATCTTTTTTCATGATTTGCATTTCGCTATTATGGATCATGAGATCCAAGCATAAAAATAAAACACAACTTATTGAGATTGAATACTGAAATAACAGAGTGAATCTCTATCAATATCAAATATCGATATGTTAAAATTTGAATATTTTATCTTTTTTCAAAACAATTTTTTAATATATTTATTTTATTTTTATATTATATTATTATTTATATTATAGTATTTTTTAAATATTTCTTTTTTATATTTATATATTTTTTAAAACACAGTATCTACATGATAAAAAAGAAAAAGAAAGAATTTATCTCGTTTTCAATCTATTTGTAAATATGTAGATGTATAAATTAAAATGTAAAAGGAAAGTAATATAGTTATTTATGTTTTTTATAATATTCTCTTTATTACGTACATTTGTTTTAGATTTTATTTTGCATCAATATGCAATAAATTAGTAATTGTTAATAATTATGTGAATCAGTATTCTTTCGTATAAATATTGTTGTGATGTCCCTTGCTTTTAATATAATTATTATATAATTTGATATAAATGCATTATAAAATAATTCAGATGATCCATCCTTAAAATATTGCCCATAACATTAAATCACTCAGATAATTAGAAAGGAAAATGTATAGTAATAAATATAAAATAACATTAAAACATTTTCTTTTCCGAAAATCTCAGATATTAATAAAATAATAAATCAGTTAATAAATTTGCAAATTATATTATCACCAAGCAAATACTGTACACTTCTTTCTGTCAATCCGTTGCACTCATCTGATTTAAATTGGACTAAGTTTTGCAGTAGACAAAAAAAACATTCTTTTACACACTGTCTAGATCTTAACAAATAGCGAAAAATTTAAGTTAACAATAATTAATTGAATTCAAAATTCAATAATTCTATAGAATATGCGCATTATTTCAAAATCAATATACGAGTGCAAAGGATAAAAGTATGGATGATTGTCGATATACAGAAAAAAATTTGTGTTATAAATATATAATAATTATATAATATTTTGTATTATATATTTATAGAAATTTGTGTTATGATATAAATTACTAGAAATTAAAAAAGAATTTAAAGTATATCTAAACACAGATGGATAATATGAGTAAAATTAAACCCAAATCTATATAAATCCATATATGAAAAATTCTATCCAAGTTTTTTCATTCTGAATATAATTTATATATAGCGCAATGTTGTATGTGTATATGATGTTGCCATTTCCATAAAGTTCCAGTATATCGAATATCATTCGTAATGTGATCAAGATTATGCCAATATAAAATAATATTATAACACGCGTAAATAAAGCTGCCGGAATATTAATTTGAATATAAAATTTAATATTTCTATACACGCGTAATGCACTAAATTGCACTTTTTAGTAACAATGCAGTTATGAATTCCATAAAACGAAGTTTTTACATAATTATCTTTTCTTATTATTTTGCTTTTTCAATTATAACAAGAAATATAATAATTAAAATATTTACTTCAAAATATTAAGAAACGTCCAATGTATTTATCTCATATTCTTAAAAATTTTAAGATTGTAAAAGATATTGCTGATATATATAGCATCAGTGTTTTGATTATACAGAAAAAAAATTTATATAGATTGTCCAGATATATATTGTAATAATTTTTAACATATTTTTAGTTGAATAATTTGATACTACTTGAGTCTGACTCCCTCTATTGATAAATACAGTAATGAGAATGATTCATTTATGTTACTTTCCCTTTTGGCTATATATTTCCATAATATATTTTTAATATTAAAAAAGATGATACGTGCGATTGATATGTATATTATATAAACATATATTATTTTCGCATGTGTAAAGTATTGCACTAAAAACACTTTCAATTTGTGGTAATGAATTACATAAGTCTCTTCCAATTGTCATTTTATCAGACAGTTCATCTGGCAGTTCATATATTAATGATATGCTGTATAAGAATTATTAATAAGCTATTATAAGAATATGAAAGCAGATCTTTGTGATACCGCATGATGAATAATGTGTAGACTTTATTTAATGCTATTAAATTATAATCTCTTATTGAAAGTGCAAGCATAATTATTCATCAAGCATACAATTATATAGAAATATAAAATGTATCTATTTGTTAATCAATTTACTGTACATATTCTATATTAAATTGGCACTTGTGTATATAGCTATATATATACGAAAATAAGTTGTATCTGTAAGTAGAATCGATGTAAGTTGAATCGATGTAAGGAAGAAGAGATCTACATAAATTTATCTTGCATGCACAAATTTATATTCTGTAGGGAACAAGCATTTGCTTGTTAAATAAGTCGCTGTTATGCTTTGTTACTGCCGGTGATTCGTTTTTTTAAACAAGTAATGCAAAGTAGGCCGTACAAAACTTTAAAAAAATCAGCGATTTTAATGCAGTACTTCACATAAAAAAATTTTTAGGGCATGATATGCACCCCGTCAATTTCTCGCAACGCTGTTAAAAGCATCAGCAATCATCATGCTTATATAAATTGTATGACAATTCTTCTGTCAAAATATATATATATTTTGCCTAAAAAGAAATAGCACTTTTTTATATATCTTTTAATCATTTAATTTTGAATCAAACATAAAACGCCACAATTTGTAATTTATTAAAAATCACATGTGCGGCTATTAAAAGCCTTGTCATTAAACATGATTCGGTCTTTCTTAAATGCTTGTAAAAGAAAGATAATCTGTAGGCAGAACTACTGACTAAACGATATCCTTGTATAAAATTAATAACCTTTTTTCAAAAATCTGATATTTCACTATCAGATTTGAAAAGGCATATATAACAAGGCTTATTTCATTTAAGACACTTTTTAAAGGGGCAGAGATGCCAGAAAGCATATGTTTTATAAATTTTGCTAGTTCTGCTCTCTATATGAATCTTATTATATTACATAAAATAGATAAATTTTAACTACTTTTTTCTCTTATGCATTCATTCCCTTTTATAAAAAACCTATAAATGGCAACTTTTCTACTACTTTCACAGCAGCTGTAATATCTACTTTTTTGGCGAATTCTGTAACCTTACTCTCTCTTTTTCCTCCTCACTGACAAAAATTCTAGTAATTACTATATCACCTGTACTAAGCGTTTGACAAGCTACACTAGTTCCAGCAGCTTGGCGATCTGTCCGCGGATTGTCACTTTGACACATGCATACGCATTTGGTAGGTGATGCATCAGCACTGTTGGCAGAAAGCTGATCAGTCGTGCAGCTGGTAACAGCTGATAATATAGCCTCCAATTTTTCTATCTTTTCCAGTTTATCCATCCGCCCATCTGATAGTATTTCATCCATCATTTGCATCGACTCGGTTAAGCTTGGGGTGTCAACATTTCGTGGGGATAATATACCACCTAGAAAAATTGATTTCAAAATCATTAAACTCATTATGCAAAATAAACCTCATTAACGAGAAACAATCCTTGTTTAAATTAATAATTTTTATTTTAATTGAAATGTGAAACACGAAGTGATTATTTTGATGTAGTAATTTTATACCAGAATGAGAATTTTCTGATGTGTAACTTTCCAAACTCTGATATTCAGGATCGTCCGTCTTATCCTCATCATCGTCATCGCTACTGTCAATTTTATCCTGACCCATATTCTCTAACTTTTCCAGTTTTCTCGCAACTTTGTAACTTCCTTTAAGTTTTTCTTTCTCATCTTCGGTAAGATCCAAATAACGGAGAAGCCGAATCTCGCGGTTACTTAGTACGATATTTTTATTTGTCGCTTCTTCCATTCTTTTTTTTAGATCTGCCACTTCAGTCTCCACTTTTCGCTGCTTCTTACGCGCTTTTACATCTGCTGGTCTTATATGCATTTGAATTTGTTCTTCGCATAACTCTGCAAAAAGATCTTGTACTTCCGGCCTTATAAGTCTGTTAATAATATACAGAAATTGTTATTAGAGAAATTCTATATGAAATTTGCAGTTATTAGATCTATAAAATTTGATTATTCAAGATAGTAGCAAATAAAACTATACCTAGACATGGCATTGTAAACTTGAGGTACAAGGCTCAAAACATCGCTGCTCGCGTAAATCAGCATGTCCCGCGTCATGGGCCGCCGGGACCAATAGCGTTGATCTTTACGATAAATATTTTTCAATTGTTCCTTAAGCGGATTACACGGAGCACCGTAATGATCGCACAAAGTGTTCAGATTAACATTTTTAACTTTGTATACAGGCTTTCCTGTTTCTTGGAACTGAAGCACTGCATGCGCCGCCTAATACAAGATATTTATTTCATATTATTACATATTTCATTTGTAACAATATATTAATGTTAATTTGGAAAAAAACAAGAAACATTAACATTACCTGTGTATCAAAAACGTTCGTCAATGTTATCTTAAACTGATTGTACAAATTGACACTATCATTTCTACAATCGTGAATCACCTGTAAAAGTAAGTACAATTTTATGTGCTTGAGCTAATATTATATACGATATATATCTTTCTTTATATTATTACTTTAATAATATTTTCGTTACCTTAATAACATAAGGATGTTCTAACAATTTCTGAAGACCTCCTGCTTGAACAAGATTCGGACATGTGAATAAATCAAATACATATGCTTGACCGCTCATTGTACCAATTTGTACAAGTGTCAATTGTCCCTTGACACCGAGATTTATGCCCTCGCAATCAAAAGACACGACCACTTTACCATCGGGAGGAGGCTTCCGAGGATTTATTATATCCTCTATAACTTGAAGACTTTCCCGTGGTGTTGCTATCACTCTAGTCTGTTGTAACACTTTCAGTTTCCATGCATCGCCCATCTGGGCGGTTTGTAAACTGCGATCCCGCTCTGTATTATCCGCCAAAGTTCTCATAACGATTGTATTGAACCTTTGCTTGAGACTCTGCTGTTGCAAACTAACGGGCGGCGAGTTATTATTATTGCTCTCGACAGGCAATGTGAATGCGTTTTGCAAGGAATTAGATTGAAGCGTTGCATTATTACAGATATTCTCTGATTGATTCGAAAGCGGTTGAGAGAATTGTATCTTGCTCGGTGAAACAATCGGCACTGTGTTATTGGCGTGAGTCACGTTATTGCGCTGATTGCCACTCGTAGTTTTCGTTTTCGCGACCGCGGGCTCCATCACAGAAGATTTCGGTCGACCTATTAATGTCACTAGATTGGTTTGCACTTGAAAAGCATCCGGGAACATTTTTATAAAAGTAGACAAATCCTGTGGCGTGTTAAATATACTTGTCCAATTTTCATGCGAGAATTTCTCATTGACCATATTAAATAGTTGATCTATAAGAATTGAGCCTTTCCGTTCAATGCATATACAGAAAAAGTCTAACAGCTTGGCTGTAACATCCGGATCTATCGGGATATCTGGTTCCAATTCATGAAAAGGTTCTGGTTTCATACCTTCATATTGTTTCAATATTACGTTATCCTCGCTGATTACAAACGCATCGGGATACCTCAAAAGAAAATCGCGAAATTCTTTATAATGTTGACCAGATATATGCCTAACCTCTGGCGAGGCTTGTGATCGATGACCCAACAGACTTTTGATAGGGACTTCAGTGCCCACTCCATATTGCAATAGTTTATTCGTAAAGTATTCTACGGCCTCGCGGGCATAGTCACGTTTACCGGATTTATTTCCACTTTCCTCCTCCACAACCGGTTGAAACGTATTAACAGACACGTAATCGCCATCAATTAAAAATAGTGCCGGATATTGTGCTAGAAATTTCTTAAGGCCACTTTGCGATCCTCCTGCTATCTGACGCATTTCCTTTGTGAATCCTTTTGCTCCAAACTGGCAGCTTAGGTCATGCAATGTACGTGGACCACCCTTGTCCATCAGTCGTTCAAAGAAGAAGAGAAGAGTCATGTTTCTGACCATTTCATACTCTGAGCTATCCATCTTTATATATATGTAGCCACACCTTTGAAAAGTTTATATTTTTATCAGATATAATTTTTCTTCAAAATGTCAAGATGATTCCTGTAGAAGCAAAAAAAAATGAACAAAACTTTATGGCAAATGTTAGATTCTTTGAAAACATTTTTATTGCTTATGAAGATTAAATATAATCAAATTTGTTGTAATATTTACCGTCATAATAAAGTTGGAATACCGAAGATAAAGGCACATCACTAAACTACCACCATTTTGTATTTATGCCTTTATAAAAAATATATCCAAGATATATATTTGTTGACCATTGATGGATATATTTATTGAGGTTGAATAATTTCTAATTGAATTAAATAATTGCATAACCAACATAATGGAAGAAAAAGTAAATCTGAAAAGAATTTTTAATATTTCAAGATTCATGTTTGCACAGCATATAAAAAGAATCTTTCCACATGAAATATGTACCTTAGTTCATGGATAAAATTGCATTATGATAATTTGCTTTCAGTCATTGTTAATCGTCTTTTTCAGAAACAATACATTATAAGATCTTCTCCTCCTCCTGTGGATGACAATAAATGTTAAAGAGATTAGTTCAATCCAAAGGACATTAAGATTTCTGATACAATCTGACTCGAAAACATCTAATGCAAGCTAACGTCAAAGGCTGCATTTATCATCGGAATTATAAAAGTTTCGATATAAAATGCAAACAAGTGTCATAATCGAGACATATACTTTTGCACATTTGCTTCTATACATCAAGTGATATTATTTTGTACCAAAACGCAGCCGAGCCGAGTGGTCTCAAAGAATAAATCTCGCGAATTTGCAATTTATTAGAAGAACGCGTATGTGTGTAAAAAAAATTCGTATCTCTCTTGAAGGCGTAATTTTTATAGGTCAAGCAATTCTCGCGTAGCTAGAAAAGGAAGGACGAAAACGAGAAGAGCAAACAGCGAGCGATTCCCCGGAGGTTATTGGGCAACTTTGTGGATTCCCACAACTGTGTCCTCGCCGCTGTCGCAGTATCGACTCTCTCGTCGACGATGTATGTACCTTGGCAGCGGTGCACGACAGAATCACAGTTAACCCTAATGCGATGCAATGCGTCCAATACGTAACATATCTCGGAGCGGATATCCAGGGGTGCGTTCGGAAATTTTACTCGTGAAGTAGAGTAGTATTGAATTGACCAATCAGGATCAAGAAATCTTTGCTCCTTTTGTCCTGATTGGTCTATTAAAAGCTACTTTATCCCACGAGTAGAATTTTTGAATGCACTCCAGCATATCCGATGAATCTCTCTTTGGGACGAACACCGTCAGAGGGATCCTCGTGAGCGATGACAGAAGACATGACCGGCGGGACCTTGTCATTTGTCACTTGGCTTCCAGCTCCACAGCTGTATATGGGAGCGGAAATGTTGGGTCATGTGTCTCCTTATTCGGATTTATTTTTTATAATTTGTCTCTTAAGAGATTAAAAAGATTATGTTATTCACACTACGGTTAAAAAGTTGTATCTCTTATCATTTGGTAGGATTAATCGTATGTTTCTATCAATAATAATTCAAAGAGGATGGAATCTAAATAGTCACGCACTTCATTATTATTTTCTCTAATTACTATGTCCCTAATTAATGCATTCGTCGTGCAAAAGCGCTTTTTTTCTGAAAATAAAAAGCCACAGAAAACACATACAAATACATATTATTTAATATTTGTTGCAAATTTTTTGTCTTTATATTTTATATACATTTAGTACAAATGCTTTTAAATTAATATGGGATGATATTTATAGATTAAAAAATTCATTACCTGATAAACTGTATCTGTATGAAAAAAGGAAACATTTATTATAATAGATCACATTAATTATAATACATACATAATATATGTATATATATATACGCACGCACGCATATATACGCACAAACACATATATAGCATACATAAATATATTTCTTTTATATGTATATATATAATCTAAGTAAATGATAATATAGCCGAGACACTATAGTATCATGTTATATGAAAGTCAGAACTGTTTATTCCCATACGTATAAGAATTGTGATCATCATTTAATGTAAGTGAATATAAAGATAGACAAATTTTAATGTGAGTAATTACAAAATATATGAGTAATGATATAATCAAAAATATTAAAACATTAGAGAGATTTACTAAATGATGTGAATAAATTTTGATAAATTTAATATACATATAAGTCAGAATAGAGATAATGCGGAGAACAAAATCGCACGACGATGTCAAAGAAGCTGTCGAAACACAAGTGATTGCGGCCATGCAGAAGCAAGGTAATAGCATCCTTTTTAAATATATGAGTTGATTAATGACGTAAAATAATTGTATTGTATTTAATAATTGATGCTTAAACTATATGAGACTTTTATTTAGCGAAAAGATTAGGCATTCATTTTCGCATACATAAATATACGTGTGTCTTATTAAAATTTGTAAAAAACGCACATTATATGTATAAATATTTTATTATTATATATTATAAAAATAAGTAAAATATAAAATAATTTTCTTAAAGGATACTCCATGAATACTGTAAACAATTATGATGAAAATTTGCTACATGTAAGCGCAGCGAATGATTGTTTCCGAATCGTGAAAGAAATTTTGAACCAGAAGGAAAACTGTCATGTGATAGATAGAAAAAATAAATTTGGCTGGACCCCGCTGATGCAAGCAATTCGTAACGGAAATATTGACACTGTAAAATTGCTTTTAGAGAAGGACATCGAAGTTGACAAAGTGACTTATCTCGGTAAACAAACAAATCGCAATCGTTTGCCATAAATTAATTTTCGTTATCAAAATAATGATTTTAGAAAATACTTACATAAAAATTTTCAAACGTTATAAAATTTTATGATCGTTTCAAAAAAATTACAAAAACCGTATACGTTACGTAATTATATAATAACTTTGAAATTAGAAACTATATAATATTACAACGTTTTTAAACGAATGAAACGAAATCTTTTATTTACTTATTGATTTACAATTAATTATTATAGGTATGTCAGTTCTTGGATTAGCTGCTGCGATTAACAAGGAGATGTTCGAAACAGTGTACAATGCTTGTCCGGACGCTTTAGTGAACGCGGCTAATGATGACATTACTCCATTATGTATTGCTGCCATGAAAAACGATAAGGAACTCTTCTTTAGATTGTTGGAGTTAGGCATGCCACTTTCGACTGATAGTAAGAGAATTTTCCAGTAATTTAAATAAAGATCCAACAGAATGTTGATCATTTTTGTACTGCAAAATTTCAAGTTGTACAAAAGAAATATGATTTGTTTTTATCAGATACATGCTTTTATACTTGTTCTCTTCTTTTTCTTATCATTTATTTATTTCAAATATATAAAATGTAAAAATTGTAGTTAAAAAGAACAAATTTGTATTGAGCGCAGATGAATACACTCGCCTTATGATGAAATATTCTACGATACCGGAGATAGCCGCTTTGGTGAACGCAGATTCTGCGATGGATGATTATTGGAATGATACATCAGATAATATTCAAGTTATAGAACAGAATATCGACGATACGACGAAAGATTCTAAGCTGATTTCAAAAAATAAAAATAAAAAACACAAAAACAAGTTGCATTTATCTATACCTACAGAATTCGACAAGCAAGATTTAATATCACCAAACTTAACGTACGACATATTCGTGCTATCCCCGAATGCTGTTTGCTTTGAAAAGAACGATCTTACAAAAAAATCGGACGTAGTTTTCCAGAATAAAGATGAAAGCAAGAAGACAATGGAAAAAGATTACACGACCAGCGAATTTGAATCACCTTCTGTTATATTTAAAAGGTAGAATAAATATAATGAATTAAGAAATTATTTATTGAAATTAGAACATCTCTCTTCCATTAAATTAACATTTTTTAAAATATAAATATCTAAAAAATAATGTTATTTTTTTGTAGAAACACAAATTCTAGCAGATTTCAATCGGCACGACCTACTGATTTTGATACGAAGAATTTCTCTTGCGATCTTAATATCACTCTCGGATTCACTCCCGAATTTAGCCCTCTGAAATCACCCCATGTACCCCCAGATGTTAATGAGGAGAACGTATTTGGCGAAAATACTCCGACACCGCCGCGCTGCAAAACGCCACCGAAAGGAATGCTTCTGAATTGGTCGGAAACGAAAATGATTATGATATTGAGACGTTTTGGACTAAGCCAACATATTCCTATATTTCTTGAACAGGAAGTAAGTATTATTTCTGTATCAGGATGCATCAAATTTGTCGGAAAACGAATAAGTGGTAATATCGTTTCTTGCAAAATTATACCTAATAGTAGTGAATTAATTATTTAACTCTACTTTCCATTTAAATTCTAATCTGATTTTGATACCTATATTGCTATAATTTTTAAATTGTATACACGATTTATTTCTTTGTTATCTTATCTTAGGTGGACATTGATCTATTTTTAACGCTTACGGATAATGATTTGATAGAAATTGGTATCGAGTTCGAGAGAGACAGACATGCTTTGCTGGAGGCAATAAAGGAATGTAAAAATCGCAAAACATATTAAAACTTAATATTTATTTATAAATTAATGCGAATTTACAATTGTAACTACTTTAATGTGAAAAATTTAAACCGTTATGTTTCTTGTTTATGAGTTCTAAGATAAATTATCTATAACTCGTAAAATTTGAAATTTTAATTTATAACTAATAACTAATTTATTATTTATGTATATTTATTTTGAATGAGCATTGATTTTTTTCTTTTTTCTGCTAATTCTTCTATTATAGGAATATCTTTCTTTTTATATAAATTAATTGTTTTAAATAGAAAGAAATGAATAATAATAAATAACTATTATTGAAAGAGTAATTCATAAGAATATTTTCTTAAAAATTCCTTGACAGCTTCTCTTTTAGACTTAGTTTATCGGGCTTTTCTTCTTTGTCTGTCAGTTCCTTAAACATAATATCATCTTTTTCAATACTGTTTTATTATTATATGAAAAATTATTATATATGTGCAATATATTTACCATGAAAGATTTATTCTCAGATTTTTGTTCCTCAGTTTTAAAATAACACGATTTTCTTTCATCTTTCTGTATAATTGGTTTGCTGACCATATCATTATCTACATCGCATAATAATGTCGAAATGCTGCCAGCAGTATTTAGCCGGTTAAATCTGCTTGTGGAACACGGCTTTATATCTAAATCGAAATTGTCAATTTCGGTCGCGCACGTAAGGGAGTCATCAGTTCTCGATAATGATAATCGCGACCGTTTCGTAGGAATATCACAGGTATCAGGCATTCGAAGCAAAGGTGTCACAGTGCCAATTTTTCTCGATTGTGTGCCATATCCTGTATCGTAAGCTGGAAGTCTAACTCTTGGTAATATTGGAGTACAAGCTAGATCCGCTGTTTGAAACGTAGTCTGCGAAACAAATTATATATTAAATAATATAGTGTAACTATAATAATCAGTGTATATTGATTCAATTTCTCTGATTTAAGAATAATAGGTATATATCTTAGAATCTTCCACAAATTATTTTAAAAAAATTTACTCATAATATACTTTAAAAAAAATTAAATATTTGATATTTTTATATATATTTGATATTTTTTTTTATACATATCGCGTAACCATAACAGCAATTAAAATATATTAATTTGGACTAGAGAAAAAAATTAATGCGAGAATTAAATAAGAATTTGGTTGAAAAAATTCGATAAAAATGGAAATATATATTATAAGATATATATGTAGCTTGTTTTCTCACTTTCAGATATATATCTAATTGCTGTTCGCATAATTTGGCCACTTTTTCTCTTAAATCTCCTATAAATTTGTAGATTCTGGACAGTGGGTCCATCACAGATGGAAGAATTTCTAAAGGTCCTGAGGTTAAACACATTTCAGGATATAGGAAAACGTTTGACTTAAAATAGAAGAATTCGATATCGTAAAATAAGAATCCGT